ATTGCTACCAAATTAATGATCTCTATTTTCCTATGTTCTTTTTTAAAAGCCATATTTAGGGATTGAATTTAATAACCTTTTTCCATGTGACTTTTCTTTAATCTATAAATGTGATGAATTTCATCAATGAGTTTTTGAATTTTGAATCATTCTTGCAGTCCTGATACACCTTTACATGATCGTAATATGTTTAGTGTTTGTTTGAAATTGGTGAGTTAATATTTTGTTAGGATTTTTCATTTCATCTATAAAGTGGGCCTATGTATGATTTACTACTATCCTTATCTGTTATAAGAATCAATACCAAAATCATTTCCATTTCCTACCATTCCTCAGGTTACACCTTAGGAAGAAACAGCATTGGCAAGAAGTAGTCAAGCTGATTTATAATCACACAGCCCCAGGGGGTGGGAAGGAATAAAGGTGTGACTGGGCATTGGAGAGTGCTATCACACATAACTTTATTTTCATCAGTTCTGCACATTAGATGGTTTTTAACGTTTGCTTGATGCTATCTTGTTGACATACAGCACCAGAACAATTCTGTCTGTTGTTGCAGAATTTTGTAATAAAAGGGAATCAATGATTGTCTTGAGGCAAAAGCAGGAACTACAAGGCAATATTTTACTACATCCCCCAGGCTAGCCACTGCCTTTGGATATAACACTCCGCTCTATTTCACATTGACCACACATACACACACACTCACACACACACGCATGCATGCACACTTGTGCACACACATCCATACACACATTCTAGAAGTCATGAATGGCTTTATTCTCCTCAGATTTTCTGTCTTTTTGGTACTTTATTGGAATCCCTGTTTCCCTCTAGCTTCTATAATTCCTTCAGACATGACTTTGGGGTGGCAGCAAGAAGCCTGCCTATTTTGACATCGTGATTGGAATAAAAGCCAAAAAGCTTGCTTTTTAAATGGACAGTTTGATGAATTTTTCTGTTAGCGGCTAAACAAATTTTTATAATTTGCATATCTTTATTTCCACAAAGTGAACTAGTAAGGCAAAGCATGCCTGTATAATTTTCATAAATATGTGTTTTTATCAGTTAATATGCAGTGATCTGTCATTTGAGAAAACAATTTTTTTCTTTTTCAAGCGAGTGTTTTTAACAGTGGTAGTCCTAACATCAGTGTGAAGAGGGAGCAATATGTTACAATTTAGTTGTACCATATACGTTTATGCTTCAGAAAGACATAATTTGTTCTGCTATAGATTTGTAACTAGAAAGTAGTAAACCATCAACACTTGAAATTACAAATCTTTGAAATCCATGGATTTGGCTTTTCTCTAATCACATTTATGAGAATTTACTAATCTCTTTGAAAAAGGAAAAACACAGAAGGCAGAACAGAAAACCATATAAAAGGAGGAACCCGTTGGCTTGCATATAGCAAAATAACTCAAGGAAAATAAATTAAAAGAAATCTGAAGATTTGTTCCTAAGAAATAGCAGAGGAAATTTGTAACTGCACACATTTAGAAATTGTCTACATACAAGTGGATCACAGGAAGAGGAAATTATTTTTCTTAATTCTTTCGAATGCCTTCTGTGTGACTCTACCAAATGGAACTGCAAACAAAGCATATTCCATTTGCACCTGCTATTTACAGCGGCCCATGAGGAAGAGGGTAGGTGGAGATAAACGCTTTGGTCTTTCAGATGATGATGGCTCTTTTTCATATTCACCTCATTTGAAATGTTTACTCCCTGAGCCTTGAGTTGTGCTAGATTCTTCTCATCTCTCTCCAGAAAGCATTGGAATGGGTCAGCATAAAAGAAAATATAAAGCTTTACCCTCCACTTTTGCACACATGAGAAAATTCAACCAGTTCGCATTCTGGGTACTTCAATCATGGGCTACCCTAATGACATGCTAGGACTCTGAGGGCAAGAACCATATCTGGTTCCGTTCACCATGTACAGCAATGTCTAACATGCAATCCTGGAAAAAGTGTGCAAAAGTCGATCGATGTCTGTTAAAAGAATGAAAAATACCTAATTGACTTGTGAAAGAAAATCAGAATCCATTTTTCTCTTTTGCTCTCAAATTCTCCAGGAAACTCACTTGAGTCCATGGCCAAAGGTATATGATGCCCAAGGGAACTAGGCTCCAAGAGGGTTGTCTAGAGGTTTAGAAAGTCTCTGCAGTCAGTTCAACCACTGAGCAAGTACAGAATGAACAATCCTTAGCCGTAAGGCTTTTAAAGGATTGTGAAGATTGCTAGTCTAACCTTTCCAAACTCTCAGTCTAGTTATGGAAAAAAAGCAAAGGCACATGAAAAAAATTAAAAGAAATAAGGTCCTACACATCAATCTGAAAAATTGAATACTATAGATCAAAAATTTGCTGTGTGAACTTTAAATGCTCCTATCCAGGGACAAGATCCATGTTTTTGGAGTTAGCTTGTGACTTTCTTTGGGGAGAGGGGCTTAGAAATGTTCTTGAAGGATGTGGCTATACTCTAGATCTGAGGATTAACATGATCAGAGGCATAAGGTGCATATGATCAAAGGATATGAAGGTATAAATAAGACTTCCCTGACTAGAGTTATGGATAAAAGACTGTCTAATGAATGACGTCATAGGTTGAGTTCCTCAGATAATGGTAACAAAATCTGAAACACAGGAAGTTTATTAAGGAACGCCCTTGCAATCAATTCCCAAAGAAAAGAGTTCCTTTCCTTCTCTAAGAAGGAAAGCTTAGGCAGAGGTAGATAGAGTTTTGATATAGAGAAGGCTTCACCACACAGGTAGCTCTGAAACCAAGATGATGTTTCAGAGTTGTCTCCAGCTGGGACAAAGAGGTCAGACCGTTTTACCCTACATCCACTAGGCATAGGATGACGATGCTCTGGGAAGGGAGCATGACCGTGGGCCAATAGACACTCTTCAGCAAAGGCAATCCCTAAATGAAGGATTTCTGCTGGCAGAACTCTCAGCTGAGGGAGCAGTCATGCCAAACGATAATGAAAATAGTAATGTGAATGTTATGACTTGCATGTATATGATGATTTTTATGTTTTCTTTTTTAAAAAAATTTCAGAATATCACAGGCGTACAAAATGCTTTCACACTACATATTTCCTCAAATGTCAAAAGAACCTTATGAAGTGACCCTCTGTCACCATTACCCTAACTTGACAAAGGAAAATTTTCAATTTTAATATAGTTACCTAGAGATAACTGGGTGAAACAACGGCATCATCAACAGGAAATTCCCCTGATTCTTAACACTTAGAGTATACTTTCTTTTATGATCCTACCATGTAGCAAAGTTTAATTTCATTGAATATGGGGCCAGGTATCTCTAAGACCCCAAAATGGCCTCCTTGTCACATTAAATTTGTGTGTCTGCTTTATACAAAATAAGTTCATTTTTCTCCATGTTTTTCCTTTTTTATCTTCAAAATTTTCATCCTGTTCTACCTCTTCCTCTGTTCCACTTAGAAACAGCAGTATAAACAAAGTCAAAATTTTTATATTGCTATGAGTTAAATTTAATGTATCGAGGACCTCAAATTTCTTAAAACATTGTAAAAACATCTGTATAATTTTTATCCATTATAGGAATAGTCCATAAATTTTGTATTCCTCCTTCCAATTTGCCCCCTTCTCATTCTAGTTACTGAATAGACAAGGATACTTCATTAAAATGTCCTCTAACCAACAAAGTTTCTCATTATTTCAAAAAAGTTGCACAGTAAAAGTTCATCATAATGGAATATGTTTTTAACTTAAACTGGATATACTAAGAAAATATTATCTGAGCTCTCCAAGTCTTAGGAGTCTTATTTTATATTTGAAAGCCAACAGAAAACAATGGACTTAATTGTTAATATTGTATCTATTTTTTTATAATTTCTCAAATATGTGTTCAATAATCTACCAGGTGTTTGCCATCCAGTCAAAGATTAATAGTAAGGTATGACTGTTATTGTCAAGATAAAAAATCCATTAATGCTTTCATTATTACCTGGAACACCATGCCCCCCCCAAAAGTACAATATAGTTAATGGGAAATTAATATTGACAATAAAAGAAAACTGGGGTTCTGTTCCAGCTACACACTATCAATGAAACCATCAGGAGGTCATTTAGTACCTCTGTGCCTCCCTTCCTTCTCTTACATTAGCATCATAAAGCCTAAACTATGAGATTCACTGAGTTACAAAAAATAACTGAAATAAAAAGTGCAGCAAAGTTAGAAGCACTTTACCAAGAGTTAATAATCTCTTTTTAATAAAAGTCCCTGCCTTGGTGAATTACCATAATTACAATAATGTGGACTCATTATAGAAATTGCAGGAGAGAAAATATCTTACCATATGAAGATAAACTCATTCTTTTGTATTTCTGTTTAGTTTCTTTTGTTCTTTGCCTGGCTTTGTGTCTGAATGTAAGTTTTGTAGGAGGAGAGGATGAGGTTCTGTTTCTGTGACTGTCCTTCAGGAGATTTACAATATATGCGTTCCCAGATCCCCCTACATCCCACGGTCATTAATGCCACTGTGTAATAAAACATCCTCTGGCACTTATCTTAAAATTGGGCCCAAATACCTATCTCCTAGAGTTGTTGCCATACATCAGTGAGAAAAACAAAGCTGCCTTGAGATAGCATCCTGGATAACGGTCAGCAGTCACTCACCCTCTCGGTGCCTTGCTTGAACCTACTGCCAGGATGCAGACCTGGGGCTCCAGAAGATTTCAAATTACTATGTGTTATACACCTTGGAACACACTAAGAAATAACCTAACCCTCAGATATTAAATATGAGAATGTGCATCTGTTTGGTCGAGCTATATAACAAAACAACACAGACTGGATGGCTTAAACAAAAAAAATTTATTTTCTCACAGTTCTGGGAGCTAGAATTCTGAAATCAAGGTGCCAGCAAGGTTGGTTTCTAATGAGGGCTCTCTTTCTGGCTTGCAGAGGGCCATCATCTCATGGTGTCCTCACATGGCCTCTTTTTGGGGGGGGGGTGAAGGAAGAGAGGGAGAGAAACAGAAAGAATGCACTGTGGTGTCTCTTCTTACAAGGTTATAAGAACACTAGGTCCTGTTGGATCAGGGCCCCACCCTTATAAATTCATTGAACCTTAATCACTTCCTTAGAGGCCCCATCTCCAAATATAGCCACACTAGGAGTTAGGACATCAATATATGAATTTGGCCTTGAGGTTTGGGTGGGTTGGGGGGCACAAACATTCAGTCCACAACAGAAGGCTAAAGATCTACCATATACTGTTTGTGCTGCTTTTTGTTAACTTAACTTTGAAGCATAAGCATTTGCCTTAGGTCACGAAACCACCATAAATGTGTAGTGGTTTGTATGTCTAATGTACTGCGATAAGAGTATGTATTCTAATTTATTTAGATATTTTATCTCTCCATTATTGGGCATGTAATTAATTTATAATGTTCTTACCCTTATAAATAATAACAATGGAAAGAAAAATGTATGCCTAAAACTTTTCCAGTATAGTTTACTATTAGAATTCTAAGCAGTTGAATTAGTGAGGCAAAGGATGTGAACATACTAAAGATATTGATACAGATAGGGTTAGTAATCCCTTAAAAGTGAGAAATCAAATTATTGTCTATTGTTTTAATATCCAGAAGAAGAATGTTGCTTTTTTGTAATTTGAGGCATAGTGCTAAAGACAAAGGTTTAAGAGGGAATTAGTTAAAACCACGGCTGCATGGGCGAAGTTGAGGAGAATGGTTTAAAAGTATGAAAGGAAAGCGTATCATTCTTAGAGGATTTATCCGGGGTCAAACAGCAAGTGTAGGAGCCAGAGTCCTGACAGAAAAGAAATGTTAATTTCCAATTTGAAGAGATGTTAATAAGGGGTTATTTACAAAGGTGTAGGTAGGATTTAAGGAAACTACCAAGAACTAACGCAGTTGTATCCCAGTAATTATAACAGTTGAAAGCTATTACTATTTCTGAATGGGCAAGGTGAGAGAAGCCATTCCTGGAACCTACAGAGAGTCGCTGCACAGATAAGACTGTGGAACTGGGGACAAAGGGAAGGTACTATGTCCTTAGCATTTGTAGCTGTGCTTCAAGGGCTTCCGTCAAGTACTTCACTTTGTTCTTTATTTTCCCCACTGGGGGCATGCTTCTGGAGGTGAATCCACTATCATTCTGCTGGCACCTTGTGACAATTCTTCCCTTGTGACATTACTAATGAATTTGGGATAACAGAGACCATTACTCTCCTCACCCTCCACCTCTGCTCCATGTCACTCAGAAGCTCATGTACTAAACGTTCTAATTCAGGTCTTTGTTCCATTTGTTTTGTTGTTCCAGCAATGACATTATTCCTGGTGTTGCTATTCCTGGCCGCTGGGCTGCTTCCGTGCTTTCCTGCAGATGGATATGAGGTATGGTTAAGGCTGGAAATCTTTTGAGAAAAATTCAAGCAGCCATGAGAGGTAGCAAGCTACTAGACCAATTTTCAAAAGTGAGAGGGGCTAGCATGTCTGATACATCACAAATTACTCATCGGTAGCTCAGGTAGTTAACATAATTATCTTTAAAGCTGTGGTGACCAGTATAGGAGCCCCTAACCACATGAGGATATCAAACACTAGAAATACGGTCTGTCTTAATTGAGATGGCCATAAATTTAAAATACACAGCACACTTCAAAGACTGAGTACAAAAATGGGAAATAAAATGTTTCATAATGCATTTAATATTGATGACATGATGAAGTTATAATATTTTGGATATATTAGTTAAATAAAATATATTATTAATCATAATTTTATCTGTCTATTTTTTTCCTTTTTAAAGTGGTCACCAAAATTTTAAAATTGTATATGACGCTTGAATTATATTTGTATTGGACAACACAGGTCTATGGGTTTAAAAGCTAATGAAACTCCTCCTTCCCCGAGATCTTTTCTGATTTTCTTTTCTTTAACCCATTTCAGTGTGATCCTCACAGAAAACTAACAATATTTTTATATAATCTTAAGTGTCATGACTTCTTTACATACATGGATACATTTAATTTTCATAATTGCTGTGTGAGAATAACTAGGCCTGTTTGTAAATTTTAAAGAAGAAAATTTACTAAAGGTATTAGTATTTTTTCCCTACTCTTATAATAAGTATCTGAAGGGCCAAAAGCTTTAAATATTTCTAAGATGCTGCCTTGCTTCAACAATCCCAGAAATAGGATTAATTATTCTCTTCAATGATGGGGTGTGTAGTGCCCATAGAAGCTTTTTTTTTTTTCTCCTGGCCAGAAAGTCTCTGAATGTGAGGAGCTGTGGTCTTTGCTGTTTATTCTCACACCTTCCTTGAATTCCTGGCACATTAGACTAGCTAGGACTCCTCAGACTGGAGAACTCTGACAGTTGGTTCAATCTCATTTGGCATTCAGAAATACCGTGTTACCTTAATCAAATTATCAATGTGAAGACAGTTCATTTATCACCTAGGGATTCATTCAAGTAGTCTGCTTTCTTTCTAACTTATTTCCCAGAAAAATTACATTTCATGACCCTTTCAATCTCCTGTTACCTCTCTGGTTTGTTTCTTCATCTTCCTTTGTAAAAGTATTAAAAAGTTAGATGTCAGAGAGATCCAGAATTATCTTTTATGACACCTTCCCTGATCTCGAACAAGAAGAATCGATCTCTCCTTCCGCTATATCTTGTAGACCCCTCCTATCAGTTTTGTTATCACGTGATAGTGTAATTATTTATTTATGCCATGTCACCTATCTAATATAAAGTCTGTAAGGCTAGATAGATACCATATTTTATCTACTTTATTTGCAATACTTTCTATATTTCCCATCACTTAATAAAAGCTCTATTGATACTCATTTACAAAAATAAAAAAAAAACGCATCTCTCCTTCAGTAGAATTTTCATCGAAAAAGCAAGGTGAGTTAAGAAGAAGGAAATAATTACTTCTCTTTTATCTGGAACCAATTTTTATGACTTTTGAAATAAAACTACTTTAAGCAGATTTTCAAGGTCAATGGGGAACAATCCAGCAATGTTATTTTATACTTTGATGTAACGCAGAGATCAGCCTGTACTGATAATTAGCATGTGCATGCTTTCTAACTTAGGACTCAGCTGTGCCAGGTCTATTGGCACAATGCCATTCACTAATGTTCCTTGTCCTTAGGAACATAAAAGCAGGAGGGGGAAATAGAAGATAGTAGATAATGACAACAAAATGTGGTCCAACCTGTGTTGACAATATTTGGAGAGTCTTAAGGGGACTCAGTGTGAGAGGAGGAGAGGAAAACTTACCCCCATGTGTCAGATAAAAATCTATAAAGGGCCCTGTCCTTTTAGATTTATACTTCAAAATCTTGTTCAGACTCACAATACATCATATTCTTGTGTAAATTTAAATAAGCAAATGGCTCTTATCTCTTGTGCCAGTGATTCACACAACCCCACTCCACTCTTCAGACCCAGACACACACAAAAATATACACTGAAAATATTAACACATGATTTAACACCGTTATCAGTTACATTTCTGTTAATAAAAAGACAAAGTCAGCAATAGTCCATTAATTGAATGACCTCACTCCCCTCAAATTGCCTAGGAGATTTTTTTGATGTGGTAAAAACTATCTTTTGAGTGATCCCATAAAATTTGCTATGTAATACATAAAACTGTTTTACTATTGAATGCTACACATGCACTTGGACTGGGCCTAAGCATTCCTTCTCTAAATGCCAGACGTGTCGGGTGGAAGTTCTCTCTCAAGCTTCGGTGAATCACACGCCCCCACCCTTACCACTCCTTGTTGCAGCCTGAGTATGGATGTCTTAATAGTTTCTCTCATGTACCTTTGTCGTTATAAGACATTATAGCTCATATATCTAGAAAAATCACATTAAGACCTCTCTTGAAAGCAGAAATTGACATTTGTGGCCTCAGAGGAGTTCTTAGTTTGTCATGCTGAGAATTACATACCCATTCTAAAAGCTTCAATCTACTACTTTTCTATGAAAAAGTCATAGTGTCAGCTTAGATTCATTAGCAATGCTTAACAACTAATATTGACTTGGACTGAACACTTTTTAAAAATGGTCACCATTCCCTCTAACTAACTTATTTACTATTATTGGCCACTTTCAAAGTTGTTAAAATATGATTCTAATTTTTATTTTCTTTTAGGATCCAGAGTTTGCTTCTGTATTAACCTCTCGAAAAGAAGTGCAAAGGGAGATCGTAGACAAACACAATGAACTGAGGAGAGCAGTCTCTCCACCTGCCAGCAACATGCTAAAGATGGTAAGAGGCAGCGTGTAAGGGAAGGGTGTGAACCAGCTGTGGAAGGGGCAGGCAGCTGGCCACTGGCATCTCTTAAGAACTTCGTGGTTTACAAAGTTCTGCCTCTATTTTGTTATTTCCTTGGAGCTGTGTTGTGGGCAGGCAAGGAGGAATTTCTTAATTTCTCTCTGTAATGGTGAAATAAGTTGCCAACTTTATAAGGCTATTTGAGTTATGGAGGCAGAATTAAAGTCAGATCTTTGAACATCCAGTGAAAGGCCATTATGTTTTTCTGCTCACTATCTTCTCTCTCCTAATCTGGAATCCGGAATACCTTTTCCCTTTGTGTTCAATGCCAGTTAGGGTAAGTAACAGTCCACTTTTCTGGGCCCAGTATCAAAGGCCACATATATCCAAATGTGTTCAGGGAGTGAACATAAAGGAAGCAGAAATGAAGTAGGCCAGCTAATTACTGTTGGAAAAATAACCTCAATATCTCCACATGTTTATCAATATTTAGAGTATGACCATGACTAAATATTTTTTAGGTGTTTCTGCTGTGCTATCATAAATAATCTGACCATAAACTATTTTAGATTTTTCAGTCACTTAGGGTAGGCATACTGTCTATATTTCTTTGTGGGACAGAGAAAGGCACACCAAAAAATATATCTTTGATTACTATGAAAATCAGAAGATGCCTCTACAGAATTTTATAATAATATAGGTCAACCTATCAACCTGATTATAAAGCTAATGCTTCTTTGAGGCCTGAGTCATTAAGCAGATGTCCTTTTTTTCTCTCTTTGTTTTAGGAATGGAATAGTCAGACTGCAGCAAATGCCCAAAAGTGGGCAAACCAGTGCACGTACCAACACAGTACCGCACAGTTTCGAAGAACCAGTACGTAAATTAGTAAATATTTGTTGAATAAATGAGTAAGCAAGGGACCGTTTTATGATGTTGCATTAGGAAAACTTTAAATGCTGCTTCTAATGATGTCTTTCTCAAGTTGAAATATCTCTGTAAGCAGAGATAACTTGGAATCACCACCTGTGCTTACCGAATGCTTTATATTTTACAAAAATTGTCTCACACAGTATCACATTTGTATCTTTCAACCAGCTCATGAGTAAAGCAGGTTATGGATCATCTCTTTCCCTAGTTTAGAGATTATAAAACCAACTATCTGGAGAGAAATAATTGGCAACTAATGCCATACACAGGAAATTTGAAATTAGAATTTCTAACTTCTAAACCAATAACTTTTTTGTGATATTATGCACTCTGTGTTTTGAAAATAATTATTATTGTACTTATAAAATATGTTAAGTGTTGCCAAACTGTTCCTGAATTTTACTCAAAAACATTTAACATTAGCATTTACTTTTACTATTTTCTTTTTAATTTTTCATGCCAAGTAAGCCAAGACTTTTATATGTTCTGGATGTCTAAAGCGCATACTATATTAGACTACAAGACATTACCTCTACCTTAAGAATCATCAGCAAGCAATATGTTATCGAGATAAAATATTATGTGGATGAACTATTAGATAAAATATTTATTGAATTATCAAAAATAACACAGATAAAGGCAAACCCAATTTGAAAGTAGTAAATAACTGGCCTGTCTGGAGGATAGGGTTGCCATTGTTTTATATTTTTGATACTATAATTATAATAAAATTATGAAAGGAAGTGACTATATCTAGCAGAAGATTGAAAAAAATAGTCTTAAAGATCCCAATCTACTGTTAAAAT